CGCTGTGCACAGATTGTGGTCTCATGCTCGAGAAATTCGACAAGCAGAAGGTCCTTGCAGTCGAAGAAGAACGTCATCATCACTTTAGCGGAACGTGTGTACGGCTTTGGATTTCTTCGGTGGGGGAGAATTCACGTGCTTCCACTGTTGGCTCTGCCATTTGCTCTTGGGTTCAAAATTAAGGCACAAAATTTCGTTCCCAGTGGCAATACGGGACGGGAAAGCATACTCTTTCTCATGGTATCGTTGCAAGTGACCCAATGATACAGCCATTCTGAGTCTTCTGTTCCTTCGTGATTTGATGTGGAACCCACTGCGCGCAGATTTTGCGGTACAGCAGGTGTTTTGTCACAATGACGTGTACGGAACCGTGACTTATTCCCATCAAAAGCCTAATTTCTTCCGCGGTTATCCGTTGGTTTGCCCGAATATGACCATCCAACGCAGCAATAACATCAGGGGTGATGACACGATGAGCCTGTCCTGGGCGAGCATCATCTTGCAGTGACACACGTCCCTGTCGGAATCTCTTATGTCACGCCAGCACACGCGAACGTGACATGTTGTGTTCGCCGTAAACAGCAGACATGCGACGATGAATTTCTCATCTTCCTACTCCTTCAGCACTGCATTTAGCTGTTCTTCTTTACCCGCCTCCATTACTGATGGAGGACGACCACACGTAGCGCTAACGTTACTTCCAGCACAATAAACAAACGACTAGTGTGCAAGGGCACATTGTCACTGTACTTTCTCGAGTCCCCACCAGATGTTCGTACCGTAAGCAAATTCCAGTGTTACCAACTTGCGCGCCATGTGATTTATGTGTAGTGACCCGTTTTCATTTGACTGCTTCTTATATGTGCAAATATTCCTATTGGAAAACTGTGAACATCTGGACAGAAGAAATGCGTTCTTTCCTTTAACATTGAGCAAAGAAATAATGCTCCTATTATTATGTAAGACACAGTAATTCTCTTTTCTGGTGATCACAGCCTCGTAGATAAATCGAAATATGAAGAGGTGTTCTTGGCGAGATAGAATAAATAATATAAATTGTAATAAATGTATTTTACGTTACAAACTTAACAACGATATACAAACATGTAACAAACACATTCACACAAAGGTACAACAGTAATATACATGCAGTCCCTTGATCCTGGAATTCCTACTGCTATACACAACATTCAACTACAGTTCAGTTAGTCCGAGATGACAGTGTAGTCAATTTTACAGAAATATTTGGTATAGTGTCTCCGGCGATTGACAACAGTTTATAAATTCTACCACTTCAGTATGATGCTTCAGTCCACACGTCTTATAAAATGTTATTTTTAAGTAACCTGCACTTTAGTTCAGTGGAACAAGCGATGTGATTGTGATTGGAGTGATCTGTAAGCAAACAGAATGGAAGTAATAATTTGACACTAACCGCACACTTCTATTTTGATTACAGCGAAATTAAACAGTATCATATGAACAGGTTAAACATGTGTATCCTCAGACCCTGAATATCTCACATACCAGGTATTTCTTGTACTATCCGACTAGCGTAACTGCTTTACGACATGCATAAAGTGTTCGCACAGAAAAATTGAGCTCAAATTTATACCAGTCAGTGTGATACCCCATCATAGATGGTCGAATCTGCAGCTTGTAACTAATGAAGGCAAAATGACTGAATAATTCCCATTATTCCTTACATTGCCAACTCGCAGTTTCAGTTCTTCGGGGCCTTCTTGCCCCGAATTTGTCGTCGATCTCGTCGACTTTCAGAAAATACCAACTCTTGAGACTCTGACCGGAAGCACGTCACTGTCCCGGAAACTGCCAGGCTTGTCGCTGTCTCACAGTGTCCTGCCTGCGGTTCCAATTGGGTTCCTGCTGGTTCACGGCCACTCCTATCGGCAGCTGCTGCTGCTGCTGCTGCTTCTGCTTCTGCTGTTGAGGAGAAGATGCTTGCGGAACTTGGTCATCCTTGCGGTCCCAGCCGTGATGGTCTGGAGGAGGATGATGTTCTGGAATCAGAACCCACTCGTGGATCCATACTGGCTTCCAAATCTTCTTCCACGCAGGAACCCAAATTTTCTTCCAGTCTGGAACCCAGATCTTCTTCCAAGCCTCTTTCCACACAAGTTTCTTATCAGGTATCCATATTTGTTTCTTCTCGGTTCTCCACACCTGTTTCCAAGCTTCTTTCCAAACGAGCTTTTTGTCTGGAATCCAAATTTGCTTCTTTTCGGTTCTCCAAACCTGTTTCCACGCTTCTTTCCAAACAAGCTTTTTGTCTGGAATCCAAATTTGCTTTTTCTCCGTTCTCCAGATCTGTTTCCATTCTTCCTTCCATACGAGTTTCTTATCTGGAATCCAGATTTGTTTCTTGGCAGTTTTCCAGATTTTTTTCCACACAGGTTTCCAAACCACTTTCTTTCTCCAGAGCCCATGGGATGTGTATTCCCAGCCGTCATGATCTTTGCCGTGATGTTTCTCCCCAGGTACCCATTGTTTGACTAATTCCGGCACCCATATTTTCTTCCACGCGGGAACTTGAATATCTTTCCAAGCAGGAATTTGTATCGGTTTCCACACGGGCTTCCACACTTTCTTCCAATCTGGCACTTGTATTTCTTTCCATCCAGGGATTTTGGTAGGGACCCACACCGGCTTCCAAATCTTTTTCCAGTCAGGAACTTGAATTTCTTTCCAAGCAGGCACCTGAATCGGTTTCCACACTGGTTTCCAGATTTTCTTCCAGTCCGGAACTTTTATGTCTTTCCACGCAGGTACTTGAATTGGTTTCCATTCCGGCTTGTATATCTTTTTCCACGCTGGTTTCCATATCTGCTTGGATGCGGGTTTCCATATCTTCTGCCAGTCGGGTTTCCAGATGAGTTTCTTCTTCCAGTACCCCTTAGGTTCGTGGTGGTGGTGTTCTTCTACGTGGTGGTGGTGTTCTTCCACATGATGGTGCTCCTCCCCGGAGTGATGGAACAGTTCCCTTGACTGCTGGTCGTCCCCAAATTGGTGCAGAAGTTCCCCGGAGTGGTGTTGCTCTCCGGAGTGATGTTGCTCCTCCCCGGAGTGGTGTTGCTCCTCCCCGGAGTGATGGAGCAACTCCCCGGAGTGGTGTTGGTCCTCTCCGGAATTGTGAAACAACTCCCCGGATTGGTGGGGCCCTTCATCCCATCTCTTCAATCGCGGCTGCGTAGTCCTGTAAGCATAAAATACAACGGAATCTTTAGTTTGTTCTTTTCACCAAGTGTAAGTAGTCAACTCACATAGGAGATGTATATGTGTGTCTTCCTGCTTATCTCCAAAAATATTAAACGAATTTCAGTGAGTTTCCATATTGGAGACTGCACACTGAGAGTAATGAGCTGATTTGAATTTGGTTCATGTCAGTGCGTCATTTGTCAAGAAAGGTTAAATACAATTTTATCGTTTTTCTCCAAAACCAAAACAGAAAAAATGTATAGCATAAAATGTAGATCTTGTTATGATGTACACATCTTGCTGAAACGCTTTTGATGTGCTGTATAACTTCAGAGAGCAGAGTCCTTGAGTAGTTGATCGCTAGCTGATTAAGATATTTGTAGCCTCACGTCCAACTGTAACATTCAGTACCGAAGAAACAAACACCCACCAATGAGTCCTGCTCTGAGGCTATAGAGTTCAATCGATCTCGTCATATTATTCGTATAATACATTTTTTTTTCACTGGCTCTATAGCCCTCTTGGGCCCTGGCCTCTGATTTTCAGTTTCAGGATCATTTTGCAGACGGTAGGACTCCTTGGACATGTGATCATCTCGCCGCAAGACCGCTACCTAAACACAGGACAACACAGACACAGAATAAACACATACATATACCAAACATCCATGCCTTGTGTGGAATTCGAACCCACGATCCCGGCTTCCGAGCGAAGACAGTACATGCCTTAGACCGCGCGGCTACCTTGACCTGCCTTGTTATTCATATTCTTTATAATATTTATTGGAGATCGCTTTTATTACCAGCTTCACATTTTTTCCTAGTTTTCAAAAGTGGTATCTCCTCTTCAGGTTGTCTGACCAAAATGTTGAGTGAAATTTTTCATCTGCCATATGCATGCTACATATCTTTCCTGTTTCATCCGCCTTAATTTAAAGACACTGGAATATTTGGTGCAGAATTCATTGCAGTGTGAGCATGTAACAGAATATACGAGAAAGTACTCTGGCTTAGTACAGAGCGAAGTCTGTAGTGTTACTAATTTTGTGACAGTTGATCAGCACCTGCAGAAAACGTACCACGTATTTCAAGATGATGTCTTGTCTGATGTGACCCGTATTTCTGTCCTCTCGCTCCCGCTTTGGAGCACAGGGCTGATTTCTCAGTTTCATGATCATTTTACAGATGGTAGGACTCCTTGGACGAGTGATCAGCTCGTCGCAAGGCCTCTACTTAAACACAGGACAACACAAACACAGAATAAACACTACATACAAGAAACATCCATGCCTTGTGTGGGATTTGAACCCACGATCCTGTCTTTCGAGAGAGCGAAGACAGTACATGCCTTAGACCGCTCGGCTACAGTGACCGGCTGACACCGTGTAGTGTGGCAGAAATTTACTGAGGTTTTCATGAAAAGTCAGTGAACATCTACCAGATACACAACGTCGTGACGTTCAAGATAATACTCTTAATGTGGGTCCCCACAAGAACCTCAAGTCTCGCACTGTCCTCACGTTTCAAGGCAGAAGCTCTTTACTTTGGACTTTTAAGCTTCCTCTTACTTTCTTCCTCCCCCCTCAAGATCCAAATACTCTGATCAGAACCATATTTATTTACAATCATCTCATGGAAACAATTAAACACGTTATTGAACTTAAAAACTCTCCACGTCGTCCAGACCGCCTCTAGAGCCTACCCAGCCTCCTATCCAATGGGTACCGGGAGCTCTTTCCCTGGGGTTAAAGCGACAAGGGCGTGAAGCTGTCCACTCACACCCTACTAGTACCGAGGCGAAGAAAACGTGGCTCTTTACATCCACTCCCCCATATGGCGTAGTTCCTAATTAGTTAAGCACATGAATAACTTTACCTTTACTTACTTACTCACTCATGGAGCTGAGCCCTTCTGGAGGAGCCGCCAATTCTGCAGCTACTCAAGAATTTCGCAGCAGTTTATGGAACCCGAAGGTTCATTACCGTGTTCACAAGAGCCCTCCACTGGTCCCTATCCTGAGCAAGATCTATCCAATCCGTACCACCCCATCCTATCTGTCTTTACCTTTACTGAATTTAAATGAATACGAGTAAGCGTATTTTTATAGGGCTATTTTTCCGATATGCTACGTGTATTATAAGATTCAAGCCGTGTCTAAGGATGTCTGGTTTATTTTCTTATGTTGATTACAGGTTACTACATACCCGATATGTTTCAGTCTTGCAGACCATCTTCAGGGGATGTGCCAAATTAGAGAAAACATTTTAAATCAAGTATGTAAAAGTAAATGATATAAAATAGCTTGGCTATATCATATACCAATCATTTTAACACAATATTAGTTCTAAATTTCTATAAGGAATGTATTACTCCTATATTTTAAACCCTATGTTTCGTAAAGTTTCGTTTGATATTGTTCATCCCGGGAATATGGTCTTGTAACATAGAAACATGTCGGGGTTCAGCAACATGTGATGAATGTAAGAAAATAAGCTAATTGTACTTCGATGATGCCTTACAGCTTATTTCAGGATTATATGTATCCTCAGAAATTGTCATTGAAGGAAAAGATTTGAAGAAAGCAGTCTTCTGGGATTTGGCACCGTGTGTATGTGGTGTTAACCGACGTTNCCTCCGAAACGTCGGTTAACACCACATACACACGGTGCCAAATCCAGAAGACTGCTTTCTTCATAGTCACCGCCGTGAAAGCCTCAAATCTTACAAGGAAAAGATTTGTTCTCAATTCACTTCCGATTGCTCGAAAATGATTAATAGTGCTAGTTCTTTCTCAGACATGTGTTGATAGTTAAATCAGAAGGCCAACTAAAATCATAAAGGAACATGTCAATCACTCCTCTCAAATTATAGAAGATGAATTTTGTGTTTTGATTTATGCAATAAATTGTAGGATTATTTTGTGGGACGCATAACCTTGACATGACCATTGGAGTCCGAAAGGCCTGGTCGAGGGTTTAACATGTTCCGTATGCAGAAAGTCTCGGGTTCAAATAACTGAGTTTGTGGTTTTTCTCAGTCCCTCTAATTATATTTGCGATAATATCCCATACTAAGCTTACTTCATTCCTGATCCTGTCTAATTCACTTTTCATTCTATCATTCGAAGAAAAGCAGTGGGCCCCTACTCCGAGAAAGTGACAGTGCATTTCAATATACCATGATTCATTTAATTGATTAATTAAACTTGAAGTGATGCTGCCCCGGTTGATGTCTCTCACCATTCGAGATTGTCTTTCCTTATCACTTGACGCTTCAATGCTTCAACAAAGAAAATAAAACGCCATAAAATGTAGAGATCGTCCTATAATGAAGAGTTTCATTCTTCTTTTACACAACGTCATGTGTCAAGCAATTCGTATGAACATGTTGCCTACATCTTCACAGTCAAGAGTAAACACCAAGCAAAGACACCAGCATGTAACAAGCACAGATTGCTTGATGCTGGTTTCTTGCTTGGCTTATTCTTCCACCCTCAAGAAAGAAACGACATGTTCATCCGAATTGTCTTTTGACTTTCCACAGACTACACGGCGTTATGTCCCGGAAGAAAGAACCCTTCGCAATCACCGCTCTGAGACCCTCAATCCTTACAGTCAACAATGCCTCAGCCACAGGATAATTAAAAAAATTGACTCTGGGTCTTGTAGTTTCGACCCTGCTGGCTCATCAGCAGTTGAGTGCTACTTACTGTGGTTGCTGTAGTTGGTCTCCGATGGCTTTGCTGGCTACCAGGGCGACTTGTAGTACTGCCCAAAGGGTGACCTATGAAAGGAAATTTCACGTAATTACTACAATTATGAAGCAAATACCTTGGTACGAATTGGCAGAAATCACGTGCGACGGCGTGACTGACAATTATAAGGAAACAAAAGCTTAATTAACTAATAGATTAATTATTTGCAGCAGTACGTTTAGAGAAGTTGTTGATGGGCTCTCAGGCAATCAAATAATTTCTTACCCTTCATTGTATTCGGAGGTTTATTGGTGTATTAGCAAGAACCTTTCACTGGACTGTATCCTGCTCGTTGAATATGGTCACCACACAAAAAAAAAATCATTTCTTTGAAAGCCCCTTTTTAGCCCAATTTCTTTATTTTGTGAAAATAAAAGTAGGCTTATGAGATCACCATGCCATTTGTGTGTCTGTACATCTCTCCTATCAACTTTTGAATGCTTGAACCAGTCTTTTTGAAACTTTGTATGTGTACCATGGTACGTAATCCAATCTCAATGTCATACTTCATAAATGCCCCCTGTCAGTCTTTGTATTTGTATGTGTATCCCTCTATCGTTGCTGGGAAACCGCTCGGTAGAAACATTGCCGCGAAAACAAATACACACGCAACAATAGAAGAATTTCTTGACGTGTCCTTTTCCATGCTTTCGGTGTCTAATCAAACGAAAGTAGGCGATTAGTTCTTCTGAGAAATCTTGCTAATCTTCTTCTTCTTCTTCTTCTTCTTCTATTTTGACACTACAGCTCACTTATAGTTTTGGTCTTCTCAACCACACCTTCCACTTGGCCCTGTCGTGGACTGCCATTTTCCAATTCGGTACATTCATCTTCTTAATGTCAGCTTTGACACCTTCCTCCCATCGAATTTTCTGTCTGCCCACTGGTCTAGTACTTAATGGTTTCCATGTGTACAGGCTTTTAACTGAATTATCTTTCATATGTGTTTAGATATCACAAGTAGATTTTGGGTTCTGAGAATAACATTTTGTAAACATATCTCATTTCCACCACGATATACACGTGTTTTATCTGTCTCTCTTCCTTGAGCTCATGAATGGAATATCGTTGAAGTGTATAAATTAAAGAGACAATAAATAAATTTAACGAAATTGGCCCTTAAAGCAGAAAAAAACTAATTCTTGTAGGGAACTCTAGGGTTCACTGCCATATTCGGAAGAGGTCACTGCTGGATGCCCCCTGTGTCAGTTGAGTCAACATCATAACCTCCCGTTGAATGTCTTTAAGAAACGCCTCAACGTTTCAATTGCACCTACATCTAGCTCGCCTAGGCATATGTGGCGTCTTCTCTTCAGACTGTATGACTAGATCTGTATACGCCTGTATACGTCTTATCTCTCCTACGCCTCCAGTATGTGTTGCCCATCTCATCTCTCTGGCTTGATCGCCTTATAGAAAGTATTGAAATCTGCTTTATGCAAGTTTCTGTTTTCTTTACGTCCTCTCTTCAATCCAAATAATCTCCCACACTACGGGAAGTAATCAAACATAAGAAAGAGCGTAAGAAGGTGACTTATATGCCAGATTTACCTGAAATAAAGAAGACAAGCGCTGGCTTAGCAGGTAGAGGTCAATCGGGTGGGGAGGGGGTTGGAACGCTTGTTACATGGTTCCCGGCGATTTTTCGTAGAACGCTCTAACGTCATTGGTGACTTTACTGGAACTACATAGACCTATAGAACGCGCTGACTTTAGTCTATTCGCAGAACTTCGAGCGAAACCTTAACGTTTCTCAAAGTCAATATGTAAGATACGTCTAATTGAGGCTTAAGTGAACTTTCTCTCTTGATTTCTTGCCCAGTTCCTGGTTTAATGAAAAACGTTTTCAACTGGATCCGTTATATGCCGTGGAATTACGTGGTGTTTTGTAAATTGTGAATTTGAATGCATGTGGAAGGAACGTGTCATAGCCTGTTGTACTGTGCTACCTCACAACTTGCCTGGATGGACCGAGAAAGCTACAACACGTGTCGTTCGATTTGAAGTTCACACAGTGATGGCTATGAAGCACTCTGTCTTCTTCAGTGCAGTGAAAGCCAACAGTCGTTTCGGAGGAATATACCTCCTACATCCTAAGGGATGAATATTCCGCTGGATGTCTATTAACTTTCACATGACTACATAGCATTATTTCCCAGAAGACAGGGCTCTTCAAAATTAGACTGAGACGCAATAACCGGTCTGAGTCAACTTCAGAGGAAGCGCCGAGCACAGTGGTCGCGCGGTCTTCTCCAGCTCGAATGCTGGGGTTGTGTGTTCGATTCCCACTCGATGTATGGGTGTCTGTGTGCGTTTATTCTGTGTTTGTGTTGTTCTTTGTGTAGATAGCGGCCTTGCGACGGGCTTATTCCCCGTCCAAGGAGTCCTACTTACTGTGTATAGGATTAAGAAATTGAAAAAGCGGTCAAGGTCAAACAGAGAGCTCTAGAGCCATAGATAGTTATAGAGACAGACAATTGTGGCCAGTGATGATTATTTTGTTACTGTAAGCTACACAGCCACTTGCATTTGCTCATGCCCCCTGCCGATAATGTGAAATGTAAGGTCTGGTTTGACATCCAGTGTCTTTCGTTCGACTTTATGCTAATTTATTCCAGATAAAAATCTGCTCTTGGCAGATATAATTAACAATATGGAGATTTCAATGTATGGAGCCGTTAATTATTGTTTACAAAGGGAACTGGCAGTAGAGGGCCAACCGGTAGTAGAATATAGAAGAAAGGGAACGATTTCAGATAAACGCTAGACACATTAATGATATTTACTAAGAGTTTATGCACGAATACCTTGATGGATATTCTGTTTCTTTCTAAGTCTGTTACCGGCCGTCTCCGTGGAGTGGGTAGCACTTCCGCTTCCCGAGTTCACTGCTCGGCCCGGAGACCGGTTGTCATAACTGAAGGTTTTGTGGTCTTACTCAGTCTTTCCAAGTAAATTCCGGGATTATAATCCAGGAGTTTCATAAGTTTTTCATTTTTCTTAACTTGGCCTTGCGAATGCTCAGATGAGCTACGGAAATTTTTGTTTCGACTCACATTCATGTTGATGTAGACTATGACAACCTCCTCTCGCACACCGCAACTTTGCGACACAGCTTGCCTCTCCAGCAGCAGGTTTTTGCAACTGTGTGTTTGAGTGCCCTCGAGTTTCCATTTGTATCCAGGTTTGACAACCTTGGTATATGATTTTGTCTATCTGCGGTTTTTAATTCATATAAACACGGAGATACTCGGTGATTTCCGCATCAGAAGATGCACGTTTGCTGAGCTCGGGGCTGCAATGACCTTCAATTCTGTAACTTTCGAGTTATAATTGTAGTGAATCATTTTCAGACACATTTCTGGTATTAATGTGTAATCGTATTTAGTGAAAAGAACCAGGATATCTCAGTTGGTATAGCGACTAGACTGCGGGCTGGACGACCGAGTAGTCGGGGCTCATTTCCCGGTACAGGCGAGGGAAGATGACCACTCGCTTCCATCGAAGGCCGAGGATCGAAGTGGTGAAACTACACATCAACTCCCTTACACATCTTCGTGGTATATCGCTTGATTAATTGAACCCCGTATAATTTTATCTTTTACTTTTCTTTAGTGTAGGAACCGGAAAATTATTTAGGCTTTGCCCCATGTTAACAGCGGTCGCATTTCCTTATGCCCCAGGATCCCATAAGCCCATATTCTTGTCATCCGTGGTGTTTCTTTGACATACCGGTAACTTTCGCAGTTGGCAAGAGATCGCAGCACTTAATTCTCTCATATATAGCCGGACTGGTATAAGCCTTATTAAAGGCAGAGATGTCCTCTCGAAGCTAAGTAGTAACTGAAGTTAAATAAACTAGGAATCAGTGATCATACACAAACATTTCTCCTTCACTTCCCACCACCTAACACGCATGCGCTCGAAAAAGGACATGTAAAGGTCGCGAGAGACTGTTCCTGCAGTTACAGTTCACAGGTTAACTGTCAGAACCTCGACCCTGCATGAAAGGAAGAACAGTGATCCTGACCTAGTGCTATGGAAAGCTCTCCTGAGGCTGTGCATCAAGGGCAAAGTACTGTGGGAATTCGTGCTATATTAGTGTGCTGTGAGAAAGTGACCCGAATATTGCTCACGACAAGACATAGCCCACGTTTCCGTTTGCCATCTCGACGTTTAAAGGAATAGTACAGACACTTTTGTTCTTCGCAGTGTGGAAACTGAAAGTGTTTAGCACCTTCGGCCGGAATGAGGTTATGTTTAGTGTGAGAAGCGGGAGAGCTAAGTTTGTGAGATGTTTAACGATTGAGGAGGAATGGAAAGGAGACGGTCGTGTCATAGTACCATTCTACATTCATCTTGGTGTACTAAAGAAGGTTATGAGAAATATGACATTTTAGTGCCCCAGTGGGCTTGTAACCTGATATTTTCCATGGATATTTTCACCAACGTTAGTGCTTGAGCTAACCTCAAATATATATTTCTTCCTTATAGAAAACTGATTTACAGCATCAAGATGTGTAGGCTTAGGTAACAGGTTTCGAATTATTGTTATTATTATTAATGCTTCTACACCCAGTGATAATTACTTTTTGTTAGACTGAAAAGTTTAAACAGGCGTAATTAAAGAGATGCCATTCAGGTCTACAGCGTGTAATTGTTTTAGGAACTGCAATGTAAGTGTACATATTTCTGTTTAGTAAACATTCAAAACCTTCCCATAATGAAGATATTTTTTTTTGCTTGACTACGTGTTACATATATAGTAATTTTACTTTAGCAGAAGTTGCCACTGTTATAAAGGGAAACAGCCTAGACAAAGTAGCCATTTTTCAATCTGGAAAAATGTAAAAAGAAGAAAAATTTCCCTTTATTAATTAATTAATTAAACACCGCGCCATGATGATATATGAGGGAGTGGAGGTATAGCTCCAACATTCCTGACCTCAGCACTAGATCTGAGTGCTCACTTTCACATCGCTATTGCTCCCCCTCCCCCCGTGCCCATTGGGTAGGAGGTTGGCTGGCC